TAGGAAGTCAGAACTGGTGGAAGTGGGCTGGCTAATTTACCACAAGGGCTCAGGCCTAATTGGACTTATAAAGAGTTTTCAGTCACAAAGGAAGCAAGCTATTATTCCTTTCAAGCAAGAAGGACTCGGCTTACTCACCAGGAATGCACCCTAACCTAAGGGAGAGGGGATAAAGGGATTAGGCTCTGCAGATGAAATAAAGAAGGATAGCATTCTCTACTTCTATCATTGGTGCTATCGTATATGAGGAGCTTTCTTTTTGGTATGAAAGGTGATGTGATCTTAAAAATAAAATCTCATAAGAGAAGGAAATGGGGGTCGTGGAAGAATTGGGTTCGAGTCCCATAGCCCCAATGTGTCGAAATATCATGATTGGGTCGACCAGACCAGGCCCGGATCTTTTTTCTTTTTTTCCGGTATGCCGCTCCGCGATAATGGAGCGAAAGAACCAAGTGGTTTGTGGTAATGTCAGAATTTGCACCTATTTGTATCTATTTAGTGATCAGTCTACTAGTTTCTTTGATCTTACTCGGTCTTCCTTTTCCCTTTGCTTCCAATAGTTCGACCTATCCAGAAAAATTGTCGGCCTACGAATGTGGTTTCGATCCTTTCGGTGATGCCAGAAGTCGTTTGGATATACGATTTTATCTTGTTTCCATTTTATTTATTATTCCTGATCCGGAAGTAACCTTTTTCTTTCCTTGGGCAGTACCTCCCAACAAGATTGATCCGTTTGGATCTTGGTCTATGATGGCCTTTTTATTGATTTTGACGATTGGATCTCTCTATGAATGGAAAAGGGGTGCTTCGGATCGGGAGTAATCACTAGTGATAGGGCAAAAATAGGGAGGAAGGACAAAGGAAAGAGCGATGCCTACATTAAATCAATTGATTCGTCATGGTAGAGAAGAAAAACGGCGCACGGACCGTACTCGAGCTTCGGATCAATGTCCCCGGACCGTACTCGAGCTTCGGATCAATGTCCCCAGAAGCAAGGAGTACGCCCGCGTGTTTCAACGAGAACACCGAAAAAACCAAATTCAGCTCCACGTAAGATAGCCAAAGTACGATTGAGCAATCGACATGATATATTTGCTCACATTCCGGGCGAAGGTCATAATTCGCAGGAACATTCTATGGTCTTAATAAGAGGAGGTAGAGTTAAAGATTTGCCAGGTGTTAAATCCCATTGTATTCGAGGAGTCAAGGATTTGTTGGGAATTCCGGATCGAAGAAGAGGCAGATCAAAATATGGTTTAGAAAAACCCAAATCGATATGAATGGAGGATGCCTCTGAAACTTCTTTTTATCGGTCAGGAGAGGTACGAAGTCACTCGACTGAAAGGAGAGGGAACAACCACAACGTTATGCCCTAAAATAGAAACGGAGCCCTTCCGAATGACCTATAATGGATTCTAATACACTAGACAAGAAAGGGGGCCGACAAAAGAATATCGCCCGTCCGATTTCTTCGTCCGGTTTTTTTTAACTTTTTTTTTTACAGATAAGATATTTCGTTTCTAAGTTTCCGGACTTGCCCTTCGCACGATTCTATCATAAAATGCTCGTTCCAATCGGAACTGCATGCAAAGTCAAAAAATAGGGTTCTCTTATTTATAGAGAATTCCAGTATGGATGAAGGAGTTCAATTTTGAATTCAGAAGCCCGGAGATGGTCAGGTGGTTTCTTGTAATTTTGGGAATCTTTTCGTTAACAAATATGGATTCCCCATAGTCTCGATGTCTGAGGATTTAGAGGATCCTAAAATATAAGCACGATATGATTTCTTCATTATATATTTATATATTTTTAGAGAAAAATGGATAGGATTTTTGACTTCCACTTCCTATAGGACATGAGGGCTTCAAGCCTATGCTAAGAGAGTAAGGTTCGTGTCTCGATCCTTTTTCTTTCTTCTTTTGCTTTCCCTGCAAAACTCTTCTCGGAAATTTATTGCTTGACTTTAAACTAAACAATCAAGAAATTATCTTCCCACGCCTACTAAAAACTAGGGACATGGTTATAGCAGTCTCTGTTCACTCATGCTTGCTGCTTAAGACTCTCTACACCTGAAAGATAGAAGTAGTTTGACGGCGAGGAAGAGCTTGAAGAAGGAAGAAGTACCATTGGCGAAGTAGCTTCCTCCAGTCTTTGTATGTATGGGGTGTACCCGATAAAGATACAAAGCAGCTGAGATCAGAATGAGTAGCATTGATCTCTCTGTTTGGTCTGACTAATCAATGTAAAAAAGATTCCATCGATCGGTGAAGCACATTAACGGAAGTGTGCACGCTAGCGCTCTACTCTAAGCTTCTAGTTAGCTCAAAAAAACGGACTCCCCTAAGTGGGGCACATGGGTTTGTGAAGATGCGTTGGTTGATCCGGAGACATGGCCACTACTGGCCCACGGTCCTGTCAGATTGCATAGCACATGCTAAGAGCTGCGATGCCTGCCAGAGAGAGGTATAGACTCAGCGCAAGCCGGCTTCCGAGTTATACCCGATTATCAAGCCTTGGCCATTTCGAGGTTGGGCCCAGGAATAGTGAGTTGATATTCGCTGATATGCTTAGCGAGAATACTTCGCAGCCGCAATACCAAGATGGGCTCAGATTTTTTGAACCAGAACTCTGCTGTACAACTAGCTGCTGCAATCACAGCCTCAGCTAGGATATATATGTAACCTTATATCTCAAGAGAGGACTGCTACTACACGGACACAGACTCAGTTGTGTTTGGCCTAAAGAAGTTCTTTCTTCTTCTGTCTTAGGTAAGTATAAGCTAGAGGACAGAGTCATGAAAGGAGACTTTTTAGCACTATTTCTACATCGCAAAAGATAGCACCAATGTACTAAAGTACAAGGGACCGGCGAAAAACCTGGTCAGTCCAGAATGGTTTGAGTCACAGTACGCAGATCCATCTCAGCGGTGGAAGCCAACTTCCGGATTGATTGGCACACTCTTAACATCATCAAGAAAGAGATGTCAGGCTTGGGATTAAGCAGGGGACCAAGAGGATACCAGTATATCACGGAGATGTATGGGTGGATACTGATCCAATTGATATCAAAGACTTGTCTTCCCTAGATCACATTGGTAAAGTACTGAAAAAAATGCCCTTTTATCAGCGCAGAAAATTAACTTTCTTTCACGAGCTTTACTGCTTCCATTCTTTGTACCAGGAATAAAAAAGAAATTGCGTATAGCAAGAAAGGAAGAAGAATGATAAATGACTAAAGTAGGTACTGGGACCTTTTGGAACATGATTAGGGAAAAAAAGAATATCTAATAGACTGATACGTACGAGCGAACAATAGTTCTTATCTCTTCTCTGTACCGGTAAAGACTTTGACCTTAGAGTAAGGGGAGGGCCTAAGACTTTCTTTATAGCCGGGAAGATAATTTCTTAATCGAAGCCATAGCTTAAACCTGGATAGAAGGACTTTATCTGGTCTGGAAAGGCTCTAGGAATTCTCTCTACTCTAGAAGCCATAGGCCGTTGAGCAATAGACTGAAGAGGCATCTCTAACAAAGGGAGAAGGCCAGAGGTATAGATCCGTTAAGGCCACTCCTTAAGCAGGACTTTCGGTCAGTTCAAAAACCATTAGGTAGGGCCTGTGCGTGCTATAATAAAAAAGGGAAGACCCTTAAATCTACTTGAATGGATCTTGGCAAGGCGGATCGAAAATCATTAATGCCAGAATAAAAATGCCAAAGAAAAGCGGGAAAGTGGGGCTATATATCATATAGTAAAGCCAGAGTCAAGACTACATGCCTCTTTCTTCCTTTGCTTTGGGACGAGGCCTGTTATCTTAATCCATCCAGAGGGAGTTCCCTATAAGCCAATGCCATTCCATTCATTTCCCGTTACCTGCCAGCCATTAATTAGGAATTAGGAGTTCTGTCCATGCGATCTAACAGACTAACAGGACAAGCAGTAGTTTTGAAAGGAAATCTGGCAAGGAAAATCCAGCAAACAAGGGATAGGCATAAGGCATGTCTTTCCAGTAAGTGGTCGCAAGCGAATGACCTAGGAAGAAGCCCGTTTACAAAGAAGTTCACATGCCCTGCAACGGATCTCAAACAAAGCGTGGCTGACAGCGCCAAGAAAGTATGGCTTACACTTCCTTAGGAAGTCAGAACTGGTGGAAGTGGGCTGGCTAATTTACCACAAGGGCTCAGGCCTAATTGGACTTATAAAGAGTTTTCAGTCACAAAGGAAGCAAGCTATTATTCCTTTCAAGCAAGAAGGACTCGGCTTACTCACCAGGAATGCACCCCAACCTAAGGGAGAGGGGATAAAGGGATTAGGCTCTGCAGATGAAATAAAGAAGAAGGATAGCATTCTCTACTTCTATCATTGGTGCTATCGTATATGAGGAGCTTTCTTTTTGGTATGAAAGGTGATGTGATCTTAAAAATAAAATCTCATAAGAGAAGGAAATGGGGGTCGTGGAAGAATTGGGTTCGAGTCCCATAGCCCCAATGTGTCGAAATATCATGATTGGGTCGACCAGACCAGGCCCGGATCTTTTTTCTTTTTTTCCGGTATGCCGCTCCGCGATAATGGAGCGAAAGAACCAAGTGGTTTGTGGTAATGTCAGAATTTGCACCTATTTGTATCTATTTAGTGATCAGTCTACTAGTTTCTTTGATCTTACTCGGTCTTCCTTTTCCCTTTGCTTCCAATAGTTCGACCTATCCAAAAAAATTGTCGGCCTACGAATGTGGTTTCGATCCTTTCGGTGATGCCAGAAGTCGTTTCGATATACGATTTTATCTTGTTTCCATTTTATTTATTATTCCTGATCCGGAAGTAACCTTTTTCTTTCCTTGGGCAGTACCTCCCAACAAGATTGATCCGTTTGGATCTTGGTCTATGATGGCCTTTTTATTGATTTTGACGATTGGATCTCTCTATGAATGGAAAAGGGGTGCTTCGGATCGGGAGTAATCACTAGTGATAGGGCAAAAATAGGGAGGAAGGACAAAGGAAAGAGCGATGCCTACATTAAATCAATTGATTCGTCATGGTAGAGAAGAAAAACGGCGCACGGACCGTACTCGAGCTTCGGATCAATGTCCCCAGAAGCAAGGAGTACGCCCGCGTGTTTCAACGAGAACACCGAAAAAACCAAATTCAGCTCCACGTAAGATAGCCAAAGTACGATTGAGCAATCGACATGATATATTTGCTCACATTCCGGGCGAAGGTCATAATTCGCAGGAACATTCTATGGTCTTAATAAGAGGAGGTAGAGTTAAAGATTTGCCAGGTGTTAAATCCCATTGTATTCGAGGAGTCAAGGATTTGTTGGGAATTCCGGATCGAAGAAGAGGCAGATCAAAATATGGTGTAGAAAAACCCAAATCGATATGAATGGAGGATGCCTCTGGAACTTCTTTTTATCGGTCAGGAGAGGTACGAAGTCACTCGACTGAAAGGAGAGGGAACAACCACAACGTTATGCCCTAAAATAGAAACGGAGCCCTTCCGAATGACCTATAATGGATTCTAATACACTAGACAAGAAAGGGGGCCGACAAAAGAATACCGCCCGTCCGATTTCTTCGTCCGGTTTTTTTTAACTTTTTTTTTACAGATAAGATATTTCGTTTCTAAGTTTCCGGACTTGCCCTTCGCACGATTCTATCATAAAATGCTCGTTCCAATCGGAACTGCATGCAAAGTCAAAAAATAGGGTTCTCTTATTTATAGAGAATTCCAGTATGGATGAAGGAGTTCAATTTTGAATTCAGAAGCCCGGAGATGGTCAGGTGGTTTCTTGTAATTTTGGGAATCTTTTCGTTAACAAATATGGATTCCCCATAGTCTCGATGTCTGAGGATTTAGAGGATCCTAAAATATAAGCACGATATGATTTCTTCATTATATATTTATATATTTTTAGAGAAAAATGGATAGGATTTCTGACTTCCACTTCCTATAGGACATGAGGGCTTCAAGCCTATGCTAAGAGAGTAAGGTTCCTGTCTCGATCCTTTTTCTTTCTTCTTTTGCTTTCCCTGCAAAACTCTTCTCGGAAATTTATTGCTTGACTTTAAACTAAACAATCAAGAAATTATCTTCCCACGCCTACTAAAAACTAGGGACATGGTTATAGCAGACTCTGTTCACTCATGCTTGCTGCTTAAGACTCTCTACACCTGAAAGATAGAAGTAGTTTGACGGCGAGGAAGAGCTTGAAGAAGGAAGAAGTACCATTGGCGAAGTAGCTTCCTCCAGTCTTTGTATGTATGGGGTGTACCCGATAAAGATACAAAGCAGCTGAGATCAGAATGAGTAGCATTGATCTCTCTATTTGTTCCGACTAATCAATGTAAAAAAGATTCCATCGATCGGTGAAGCACATTAACGGAAGTGTGCACGCTAGCGCTCTACTCTAAGCTTCTAGTTAGCTCAAAAAAACGGACTCCCCTAAGTGGGGCACATGGGTTTGTGAAGATGCGTTGGTTGATCCGGAGACATGGCCACTACTGGCCTACGGTCCTGTCAGATTGCATAGCACATGCTAAGAGCTGCGATGCCTGCCAGAGAGAGGTATAGACTCAGCGCAAGCCGGCTTCCGAGTTATACCCGATTATCAAGCCTTGGCCATTTCGAGGTTGGGCCCAGGAATAGTGAGTTGATATTCGCTGATATGCTTAGCGAGAATACTTCGCAGCCGCAATACCAAGATGGGCTCAGATTTTTTGAACCAGAACTCTGCTGTACAACTAGTTGCTGCAATCACAGCCTCAGCTAGGATATATATGTAACCTTATATCTCAAGAGAGGACTGCTACTACACGGACACAGACTCAGTTGTGCTTGGCCTAAAGAAGTTCTTTCTTCTTCTGTCTTAGGTAAGTATAAGCTAGAGGACAGAGTCATGAAAGGAGACTTTTTAGCACTATTTCTACATCGCAAAAGATAGCACCAATGTACTAAAGTACAAGGGACCGGCGAAAAACCTGGTCAGTCCAGAATGGTTTGAGTCACAGTACGCAGATCCATCTCAGCGGTGGAAGCCAACTTCCGGATTGATTGGCACACTCTTAACATCATCAAGAAAGAGATGTCAGGCTTGGGATTAAGCAGGGGACCAAGAGGATACCAGTATATCACGGAGATGTATGGGTGGATACTGATCCAATTGATATCAAAGACTTGTCTTCCCTAGATCACATTGGTAAAGTACTGAAAAAAATGCCCTTTTATCAGCGCAGAAAATTAACTTTCTTTCACGAGCTTTACTGCTTCCATTCTTTGTACCAGGAATAAAAAAGAAATTGCGTATAGCAAGAAAGGAAGAAGAATGATAAATGACTAAAGTAGGTACTGGGACCTTTTGGAACATGATTAGGGAAAAAAAGAATATCTAATAGACTGATACGTACGAGCGAACAATAGTTCTTATCTCTTCTCTGTACCGGTAAAGACTTTGACCTTAGAGTAAGGGGAGGGCCTAAGACTTTCTTTATAGCCGGGAAGATAATTTCTTAATCGAAGCCATAGCTTAAACCTGGATAGAAGGACTTTATCTGGTCTGGAAAGGCTCTAGGAATTCTCTCTACTCTAGAAGCCATAGGCCGTTGAGCAATAGACTGAAGAGGCATCTCTAACAAAGGGAGAAGGCCAGAGGTATAGATCCGTTAAGGCCACTCCTTAAGCAGGACTTTCGGTCAGTTCAAAAACCATTAGGTAGGGCCTGTGCGTGCTATAATAAAAAAGGGAAGACCCTTAAATCTACTTGAATGGATCTTGGCAAGGCGGATCGAAAATCATTAATGCCAGAATAAAAATGCCAAAGAAAAGCGGGAAAGTGGGGTTATATATCATATAGTAAAGCCAGAGTCAAGACTACATGCCTCTTTCTTCCTTTGCTTTGGGACGAGGCCTGTTATCTTAATCCATCCAGAGGGAGTTCCCTATAAGCCAATGCCATTCCATTCATTTCCCGTTACCTGCCAGCCATTAATTAGGAATTAGGAGTTCTGTCCATGCGATCTAACAGACTAACAGGACAAGCAGTAGTTTTGAAAGGAAATCTGGCAAGGAAAATCCAGCAAACAAGGGATAGGCATAAGGCATGTCTTTCCAGTAAGTGGTCGCAAGCGAATGACCTAGGAAGAAGCCCGTTTACAAAGAAGTTCACATGCCCTGCAACGGATCTCAAACAAAGCGTGGCTGACAGCGCCAAGAAAGTATGGCTTACACTTCCTTAGGAAGTCAGAACTGGTGGAAGTGGGCTGGCTAATTTACCACAAGGGCTCAGGCCTAATTGGACTTATAAAGAGTTTTCAGTCACAAAGGAAGCAAGCTATTATTCCTTTCAAGCAAGAAGGACTCGGCTTACTCACCAGGAATGCACCCCAACCTAAGGGAGAGGGGATAAAGGGATTAGGCTCTGCAGATGAAATAAAGAAGAAGGATAGCATTCTCTACTTCTATCATTGGTGCTATCGTATATGAGGAGCTTTCTTTTTGGTATGAAAGGTGATGTGATCTTAAAAATAAAATCTCATAAGAGAAGGAAATGGGGGTCGTGGAAGAATTGGGTTCGAGTCCCATAGCCCCAATGTGTCGAAATATCATGATTGGGTCGACCAGACCAGGCCCGGATCTTTTTTCTTTTTTTCCGGTATGCCGCTCCGCGATAATGGAGCGAAAGAACCAAGTGGTTTGTGGTAATGTCAGAATTTGCACCTATTTGTATCTATTTAGTGATCAGTCTACTAGTTTCTTTGATCTTACTCGGTCTTCCTTTTCCCTTTGCTTCCAATAGTTCGACCTATCCAAAAAAATTGTCGGCCTACGAATGTGGTTTCGATCCTTTCGGTGATGCCAGAAGTCGTTTCGATATACGATTTTATCTTGTTTCCATTTTATTTATTATTCCTGATCCGGAAGTAACCTTTTTCTTTCCTTGGGCAGTACCTCCCAACAAGATTGATCCGTTTGGATCTTGGTCTATGATGGCCTTTTTATTGATTTTGACGATTGGATCTCTCTATGAATGGAAAAGGGGTGCTTCGGATCGGGAGTAATCACTAGTGATAGGGCAAAAATAGGGAGGAAGGACAAAGGAAAGAGCGATGCCTACATTAAATCAATTGATTCGTCATGGTAGAGAAGAAAAACGGCGCACGGACCGTACTCGAGCTTCGGATCAATGTCCCCAGAAGCAAGGAGTACGCCCGCGTGTTTCAACGAGAACACCGAAAAAACCAAATTCAGCTCCACGTAAGATAGCCAAAGTACGATTGAGCAATCGACATGATATATTTGCTCACATTCCGGGCGAAGGTCATAATTCGCAGGAACATTCTATGGTCTTAATAAGAGGAGGTAGAGTTAAAGATTTGCCAGGTGTTAAATCCCATTGTATTCGAGGAGTCAAGGATTTGTTGGGAATTCCGGATCGAAGAAGAGGCAGATCAAAATATGGTGTAGAAAAACCCAAATCGATATGAATGGAGGATGCCTCTGGAACTTCTTTTTATCGGTCAGGAGAGGTACGAAGTCACTCGACTGAAAGGAGAGGGAACAACCACAACGTTATGCCCTAAAATAGAAACGGAGCCCTTCCGAATGACCTATAATGGATTCTAATACACTAGACAAGAAAGGGGGCCGACAAAAGAATACCGCCCGTCCGATTTCTTCGTCCGGTTTTTTTTAACTTTTTTTTTTACAGATAAGATATTTCGTTTCTAAGTTTCCGGACTTGCCCTTCGCACGATTCTATCATAAAATGCTCGTTCCAATCGGAACTGCATGCAAAGTCAAAAAATAGGGTTCTCTTATTTATAGAGAATTCCAGTATGGATGAAGGAGTTCAATTTTGAATTCAGAAGCCCGGAGATGGTCAGGTGGTTTCTTGTAATTTTGGGAATCTTTTCGTTAACAAATATGGATTCCCCATAGTCTCGATGTCTGAGGATTTAGAGGATCCTAAAATATAAGCACGATATGATTTCTTCATTATATATTTATATATTTTTAGAGAAAAATGGATAGGATTTCTGACTTCCACTTCCTATAGGACATGAGGGCTTCAAGCCTATGCTAAGAGAGTAAGGTTCCTGTCTCGATCCTTTTTCTTTCTTCTTTTGCTTTCCCTGCAAAACTCTTCTCGGAAATTTATTGCTTGACTTTAAACTAAACAATCAAGAAATTATCTTCCCACGCCTACTAAAAACTAGGGACATGGTTATAGCAGTCTCTGTTCACTCATGCTTGCTGCTTAAGACTCTCTACACCTGAAAGATAGAAGTAGTTTGACGGCGAGGAAGAGCTTGAAGAAGGAAGAAGTACCATTGGCGAAGTAGCTTCCTCCAGTCTTTGTATGTATGGGGTGTACCCGATAAAGATACAAAGCAGCTGAGATCAGAATGAGTAGCATTGATCTCTCTGTTTGTTCCGACTAATCAATGTAAAAAAGATTCCATCGATCGGTGAAGCACATTAACGGAAGTGTGCACGCTAGCGCTCTACTCTAAGCTTCTAGTTAGCTCAAAAAAACGGACTCCCCTAAGTGGGGCACATGGGTTTGTGAAGATGCGTTGGTTGATCCGGAGACATGGCCACTACTGGCCTACGGTCCTGTCAGATTGCATAGCACATGCTAAGAGCTGCGATGCCTGCCAGAGAGAGGTATAGACTCAGCGCAAGCCGGCTTCCGAGTTATACCCGATTATCAAGCCTTGGCCATTTCGAGGTTGGGCCCAGGAATAGTGAGTTGATATTCGCTGATATGCTTAGCGAGAATACTTCGCAGCCGCAATACCAAGATGGGCTCAGATTTTTTGAACCAGAACTCTGCTGTACAACTAGCTGCTGCAATCACAGCCTCAGCTAGGATATATATGTAACCTTATATCTCAAGAGAGGACTGCTACTACACGGACACAGACTCAGTTGTGCTTGGCCTAAAGAAGTTCTTTCTTCTTCTGTCTTAGGTAAGTATAAGCTAGAGGACAGAGTCATGAAAGGAGACTTTTTAGCACTATTTCTACATCGCAAAAGATAGCACCAATGTACTAAAGTACAAGGGACCGGCGAAAAACCTGGTCAGTCCAGAATGGTTTGAGTCACAGTACGCAGATCCATCTCAGCGGTGGAAGCCAACTTCCGGATTGATTGGCACACTCTTAACATCATCAAGAAAGAGATGTCAGGCTTGGGATTAAGCAGGGGACCAAGAGGATACCAGTATATCACGGAGATGTATGGGTGGATACTGATCCAATTGATATCAAAGACTTGTCTTCCCTAGATCACATTGGTAAAGTACTGAAAAAAAATGCCCTTTTATCAGCGCAGAAAATTAACTTTCTTTCACGAGCTTTACTGCTTCCATTCTTTGTACCAGGAATAAAAAAGAAATTGCGTATAGCAAGAAAGGAAGAAGAATGATAGATGACTAAAGTAGGTACTGGGACCTTTTGGAACATGATTAGGGAAAAAAAGAATATCTAATAGACTGATACGTACGAGCGAACAATAGTTCTTATCTCTTCTCTGTATCGGTAAAGACTTTGACCTTAGAGTAAGGGGAGGGCCTAAGACTTTCTTTATAGCCGGGAAGATAATTTCTTAATCGAAGCCATAGCTTAAACCTGGATAGAAGGACTTTATCTGGTCTGGAAAGGCTCTAGGAATTCTCTATACTCTAGAAGCCATAGGCCGTTGAGCAATAGACTGAAGAGGCATCTCTAACAAAGGGAGAAGGCCAGAGGTATAGATCCGTTAAGGCCACTCCTTAAGCAGGACTTTCGGTCAGTTCAAAAACCATTAGGTAGGGCTTGTGCGTGCTATAATAAAAAAGGGAAGACCCTTAAATCTACTTGAATGGATCTTGGCAAGGCGGATCGAAAATCATTAATGCCAGAATAAAAACGCCAAAGAAAAGCGGGAAAGTGGGGCTATATATCATATAGTAAAGCCAGAGTCAAGACTACATGCCTCTTTCTTCCTTTGCTTTGGGACGAGGCCTGTTATCTTAATCCATCCAGAGGGAGTGCCCTATAAGCCAATGTCATTCCATTCATTTCCCGTTACCTGCCAGCCATTAATTAGGAATTAGGAGTTCTGTCCATGCGATCTAACAGACTAACAGGACAAGCAGTAGTTTTAAAAGGAAATCTGGCAAGGAAAATCCAGCAAACAAGGGATAGGCATAAGGCATGTCTTTCCAGTAAGTGGTCGCAAGCGAATGACCTAGGAAGAAGCCCGTTTACAAAGAAGTTCACATGCCCTGCAACGGATCTCAAACAAAGCGTGGCTGACAGCGCCAAGAAAGTATGGCTTACACTTCCTTAGGAAGTCAGAACTGGTGGAAGTGGGCTGGCTAATTTACCACAAGGGCTCAGGCCTAATTGGACTTATAAAGAGTTTTCAGTCACAAAGGAAGCAAGCTATTATTCCTTTCAAGCAAGAAGGACTCGGCTTACTCACCAGGAATGCACCCTAACCTAAGGGAGAGGGGATAAAGGGATTAGGCTCTGCAGATGAAATAAAGAAGAAGGATAGCATTCTCTACTTCTATCATTGGTGCTATCGTATATGAGGAGCTTTCTTTTTGGTATGAAAGGTGATGTGATCTTAAAAATAAAATCTCATAAGAGAAGGAAATGGGGGTCGTGGAAGAATTGGGTTCGAGTCCCATAGCCCCAATGTGTCGAAATATCATGATTGGGTCGACCAGACCAGGCCCGGATCTTTTTTCTTTTTTTCCGGTATGCCGCTCCGCGATAATGGAGCGAAAGAACCAAGTGGTTTGTGGTAATGTCAGAATTTGCACCTATTTGTATCTATTTAGTGATCAGTCTACTAGTTTCTTTGATCTTACTCGATCTTCCTTTTCCCTTTGCTTCCAATAGTTCGACCTATCCAGAAAAATTGTCGGCCTATGAATGTGGTTTCGATCCTTTCGGTGATGCCAGAAGTCGTTTCGATATACGATTTTATCTTGTTTCCATTTTATTTATTATTCCTGATCCGGAAGTAACCTTTTTCTTTCCTTGGGCAGTACCTCCCAACAAGATTGATCCGTTTGGATCTTGGTCTATGATGGCCTTTTTATTGATTTTGACGATTGGATCTCTCTATGAATGGAAAAGGGGTGCTTCGGATAGGGAGTAATCACTAGTGATAGGGCAAAAATAGGGAGGAAGGACAAAGGAAAGAGCGATGCCTACATTAAATCAATTGATTCGTCATGGTAGAGAAGAAAAACGGCGCACGGACCGTACTCGAGCTTCGGATCAATGTCCTCTGAGCCTCCATGACCTACTACTCCTTTAGAGAAGAAAGAGGGTCACTGGCCTCTGTAGGGGGGCCTCTTCCGGCGCGGAAAGAGTCTTCGCTTACACAATAAAATTTAGCTTTTATGTGAGAAAGAACTTTTACAGTACTACTATTACTACCAATCTTCAACGTAGAACAAAGTAATAAATTACTTTAGTAGTCCCAGGCCTGATATCACAGCGCCTACCCTGCAGATGAAAGACTTTATCCTTAGAGGCGACTTCTAATTGAGTGAATGAATTCCTACTGTCTTACTAAAAAAGAAATTGCGTCTAGCAAGAAGAATCATTCTATCAGACTAGTCTCTATCATTAAGCGTGAAAAGCCAGCGCCCAAAGGTGCTTTTTCGAAAGTCGGTCAAAGAATCGATTATATGCCTGGCCAGAAGACCGATGAGCCTTACCAGTGAAGCAAAGAAGATAAATTCAAGTAGCTCTTAGAAAGGTAACTGAATGCGTTTCCGGTGTTAAAGTTAGAAGAGTAACTGCTCTCGTAGTCGTTTCCGCTCTTCTCTGTTTTGAAGCAAAGCATGCTGAAAGCAATAAACATCTTAAATTCAGCTCTGAAAGTCTCTTAGCCTACCGGTGGGCGAGCCTAGCTTGTCTAGAGAAGTATAACTAGAAAAAGTCATGATGTTCCGTTCTTGTTGTTTGAAAAGATCTCGGATCCCTCATACTTACTTGTGACTGTGAAGAGTCTATAAGGAGAAGTGGGCATCTTGATCTGAGCTTCTTCCCTTATATAATATAAAGATCTAGCTTCTTAATTTCAAGGTATAGTCTCAAATAAAAAAGAGGAAGCCCGACTTTGACAAGCAAGCCATAGCCAAAGCAGCAGCTTTCAGATCATAGTCCTAATTTCCACCTACCTTTCTCGCTCTATCATTCCATTCTATCAGTCCGGTAGTCGGTCCTAACAGCGGTTGAAGCCTTCGAATCGGCTAAGTGTTTAGTATCACCTTAATCCATTCTTTTGCTTTAGTCTTTCTTTCTGAGTAGTCGATAGCGAGTCTGACGGGTCTAGCACCATCCGCCAATCGCTTATTGGTGAAAGGGCTATGTAGTAACCAGTCCGGTTAGCATTTCAGTGTCCGTCAGGAAGACGAGTTTGAATCTTCTTTGTTGTATGAAAGGCTCTTTTTATATTTGGTAGGACTTCCATT